CTCAGAAAAATACCCTGATGACCACCTTTGCCTCTGCAGAGTGGGTCCAAAGACTGGCACAGTCAGGAGGCCTGAGAGTGTGTGTGGGGGGAAATAGGGGTTCAGGTGCTCTACCTTCCCAGCACTTGAGCGATGGCGTCTGGGTCGGGAACAGGCGTGGTTCTCCTTCCCGCGGTGGATGGTGGCCGGGCTACCTCCCGGTGCTTGAGAAATTAGGACTAGAGTGATTTCTCAAACAGGCCACTTTCATCTGGCATGATAAAGTTCTCTTTGCCTTTAATATGTCGAATTTGTACTCTTTGGACATTTGGATGCCATGCTCACTTTGGCAGTACATATATTAAAAGTCGACATTTGAATCATTTTTATATTCACATCTCTTAATTAGTTCTCTTGTCTTGAGGCTCTCATATTGTTCTCTCTAGTTAAGAAGAGCTCTTTATGTATTTGTTGTATATGTTGGAAATTATTTTTCTAATTATGGCTCACTTTTTTATCCTCTCTGTGGACATTTGGTAAATAAGAGTTTGTAATTTTAATATAGCCCAATATATCAACCTTTTTTCTTTAGAACTGTACTTTTTGTATTTGGTTTGATAAATCTTTGCCTGTTGCAGGAAATACTCCTCTTATATTGTCTAGAAGTGTTATTGCTTTGTTTTCACATTTGAATCTCCAATCCACTTGGAACTGATTTTTATGAATAAAATGATGTAGAGGGGCCAATATTAATTTTTTAATAGAAATATTCTATTACTCTGGGTAAGACATCAATACAGTGGTAAATACAAATGATAATAGCAAGCATTCTCCTCTCCTAATCTGAAAGTTTCAGTATTACTATTAAGTATAATATTTGCCATAGTTTTGATTTTTGTTATATCCTTCATCGCAATACGTTCCCTTCTAGTCGTACTTGCCAAGAATTTTTAACACTGAACAGGTAAGTTTTATGCAGTGCTTTTGCTGTATCTGTCAAGAGGATTATATGATTTTACTCTTTTTTTTCTGTAAATATGACATATTGATTTATATTTATTTTTAAGCCAATTATTCTGATGTGTTAAAAAAAAACAATGTCTGGTTTTACCTGTTCCCCCATGACAATCAACACAGAGGATGTCTATGATCTAAAAAGATGTAGCTGGGTGTGGTGACGCACACCTGTAATTCCAACACTCAGGAGGCTGAGGCAGGAGGATCACTGTGAGTTCGAGACCAACCTGGGGTACATAGTGAGTTCCAGGTCAGTCTCTACATAATAAAACCCTGTCTCAAAATAAATAAATAAATAAATAAATGTGATAAATAAATAAGATGTGGAAATTTTTCCCCAGCAGCAAGCAAGCAATTCTGTAGCAGACACCAGTTGGTGTCTAATCCAATTAGGTTCTGATACTCCTTACCTGGAGATAGCACCAGATCCTACAGGTTAAAGGCCTAGTCTCAAAATCTGCCTCCAACACACAGACAGACAGGCATGCACACACTCCAGTGCACACACACACACACACACACACACACTTTTAATGTCAGTCACACACATCTGTACTTCTGGGTTCTCACAACTCCTCCTTGAGTTTAATTTAGCAGAGCAGTTCATAGAACTCATAGACTATTCACTGATTTATTGCAAAAGATATTACAAAAGCTAGAGAGGCACAAGGTGAGATATGTGAGAGGGCTGCAAAACTTGAATGCCCTCTCCAAGAGTACAGCCCTTTGAAAATCTCAAAAGGTTTTAGGGAGACTTCCTTGCACAGGTGTGATTACAGCATGGACAACTGTATGGAAATATGATTAGATAAGAAAGGCCTAAGCAAATGCTAATAGAATGGGAAGAGACAATTAATTAGTAAGGCCTTCATTCTCTGTTTCAGTGCAGTCTCCTTCCTCCAGGTTATGGGGCAGGGCCCCTATGGATGAGGAGGGTCTTCTGACCTACTATTAGGTAAAGATAAATCAGAATTTCTTTGTGGCCAGCTCCAAGACAGTCTTGAGAAAGACAAATTCTAATTTCTCTGGTCTGCCTTGGGGAAGGAGTTACGAGCTGTGGACAAAAACAAAATGTACATTAAAATATATAATATATACATTTATCATAATATGACATCTATAATAAACCCTATTTGCTAATAACATAACATTATCACTTTATAGGTTTGATATACATCTGGATCTGATTTGTTAATGTTTTGTTTGCTTTCCTGTTCATGAGTAAAAATAGCTTATAATTTCTCTTTCATGTGTTTGGTAGAATTCACTGATAAAGACATCTAGACATGGAGATTTCTTTATAACAAGTTTTTAGTAATTATAGTATTCAGATTTTCTATTTTTTGATTAGTTGCAATAAGTAATATTCTAGGAATTTGCTCATTTTCTCTACTTTTTAAACTTGATGGCAAAAATGTTCAATTTGCTTTTATCTTTACAATGTCTGATATTGATAATTCGTGCATTCTCTTTTTTCTGATTCAGTTTCAATAGGAGGTTATCAATTGTACTAATCTTAAAGAATCACCTTTGATTTTGTTGACTTTTTATTGTTTTTATAATTATTTTTATAATTTCCTTGTAGGGATACTTAGATCACTGATTTTAAGCCTTCTTCTCCAATAGTGTGTGAAAAGCTATACATTTTCCTCTTACTATATATCTTTAGCTGCATCTTACAACTTTTGTATGTCATATTTTCATTGTAATTCATTTTGAAGTATTTTCTGATTTTAGTGGTAATTTTTTATTAGACCTGTGAGTTATGTGTAAGTATATTGTTCAATTTTGAAACATTTAAGAGCTATCTAGATTTGTGCAGGGTTTTGTTGTGGAGGGATTATTTTGCTATTAGTTTTTAGCTTAATTTCATAGTGGTCAACAACACATTCATTGGGATTTTTGTAATTATTTTTTAATTTCTATTTTTATTAGCACATGTTTAGAGTACCTAATGGTTACATTCATCATGGCTACTTGGTACATATACATGATACATTTTAATTCCTTTTATTTTCTCTTCTCTTCCCTTCTTCCTCCCTCCATTTCTGGATCTCTTCTCATTTGCAAAAGGTCTACCTGTTTCCTATTAGCTATCTTTCATTGTGCTCTTTAAATTATTTATACTTTGGGTTTCTCATATAAAAGAAACCATGCAATATTTAAGTTTGTGTGTCTGATTTAGTTCTCTTAACGTTATGATCTCAAGTGTATCCATTTTCTTTCAAATGACTCAAATTTGTCCCATGTGGCAGAATAGTACTCCATTGTGTGTAAATACCACATATTCTTTATCCATTCATCTGTTAATGAACATATAGGCCACTTCCATGAGTTGTGCTGCTATAAATGTGTATGCCTGTATCACTATAATATAATATCTATAGCTCTTTCAGGAAGATACTGTGTGTATGTGTGTGTGTGTGTGTGTGTGTGTGTATGTGTGTGTATATAAAACAAATAACTCTCTCTCTCTCTCTCTCTCTCTCTCTC